GATAATACCCTAGCTCTTAGAACAGCACAAAAGAAATTAAATGCATCAAGAAGTAACTTTCAGAGTTTCTTGTCATTTGTTGTGAGCAGTGGTACTTCACTGTCCTTAAGTCACACACACAAGCAAAGCAAAAAAACCAGCCATTAAAACCTCTGGTGTTTAAGAAAACTCATCCATTGTAGAGGTCTTGTCTTCTGTTTGAAACCATAATTCTGCAAAAATCCTGTTGTAAATTCTGAAAAAAAAGTTACAATGATTTGAATAGATGTCAATTTTATTAATTCAAGAATCTATCAAATAATTTTTTTTCCCTTAAAATGGAAGAGGTCTATCAACTCTGTAACATGGCTTAAATGACTGAGTACCCTTGACAGATTTTTGCAGGACATGAAGAACACAGAAAAGTGCCAGGAATATGTTCTTGCTCTTATTGAGAATGCCTGATGATGAAGTGCTGCAGACAAGCACAGAGAATGACCTTCATTTGTTCAGGCTCTAGATTAAAGCATACCTAGAGTGCTTCTCCATTAATGTTTTAATTAGGATGAGGATTGTGGCTTCAAAGTTGTTTGTCCTTTCACTATGTTTTCATTCTCATCATAGGAAATCCACATGGAGCACATGGTCTGCATTCCTCTCAGAAGAGACTAAATCAGAACATGTGCTTTGATCTCTGGTGGGTGTTTAGTCCATTAGACAGGTCTAGGTGCACTCGGAGAAGAACCCAAGCTCTGGGCACTAATTGTCTTGCTTTGTCAGTGAAATGTGCTGTTTGATATAAACATAGCATCAAAGCTTTAAAGTACAGAACTCTGTGTACCCATTGTAATTTTCACTCTCTACCCCAAAGCCTTTAATTTTTGTTATATCTGAGTGACTCCCAAGTTCAGGAGTTCTCACTGGATGAGTAAAGACACATTTACAACAGAGTACCATACACCAAACACTTGCATCCTCTGCTAAAGTTTGGTGGTAACAGAGTTCTTCCACAATGCATTCCTGCAACAGAGGGAAGTATTCCTCATGTAAAGATTCTCCTTCTTAAGCAATATAAATATATATAAGGAATATTTCACCTGTAATTTTAAATCCTTCCTTTCACCTCTGCCCTGAAATGTGTAGCTGACATAAAAGCTTTCAGTCTTTGCAGAGAATTACTTGGGAAGTTTAAAAGCCAACTCAAGTCAGACAATCTTAGTAGTGATGCAACCAATTTTCTCCACAGGAAACACTCCAAGAAACTCTGACAGGGAGAAATGGTTGTACCACCTGAACCCAGCTATCAAAAGCCCTGTGGTAGCAGCATGTGTGGAAGATACCCAGAGAGATTTCAATTACCTTCAGGCTTCAGACCTGACTGAAGGGATTTTCTTCCATGCCCAAAAGTGTTGCCCTAGAGTGATAGTGCTGCACAGCTATTTTGATGTTTTCGTGAACATGATGAACTTAAGTTTCCCCCAACTTCCTCTCCCTCCCCTCCCTTTCCTATTCTTGAGCATTGAAAAATACTGTCTCTAACCCATTCATTTTTCTTTGCTTGTCATGTAAAATTATATTAGTGTTTAAAATTGGATTATTTCTTTGCTCGAACATATTTTATGTTCTTCCCTTTCTTTACATGAGGATGAGAAGTGAGATAATGTTCAAAATCTCTGTATTTGTTGCCAAACAGGCCAGTTACTCTGGAAGTGTTTTTGGAGCTGACTCCTCAGCTAAGCATTCCAAGCAGATGTTAGAATTTTTTTTTTTCCTATCATATTAGTAAGTGAAAAGCTGCAGCTGTAATCCTGTGGAAACAATATCTGCTCATTAATATTAAAGACAGGATTTTTGAGGTGTTTCACACTATTGGCAACACTTTACATTTTAGCTCAAGCTGGGTTTTTTCCTCCCACATAGTAAACTGTAAATCTGGATTACATAACACAGCTGATGTGGGCATTGCAAATTCTGTATAACACATTTTACCTAGCCTGAGGTTGTCCTAGGTGATACTAAAATTTCACCTTACCTTTCAGAGGGCAGAGGGTGAGCACAGATAATGAGTGCTTGATGCAGGACTTGCATCTAGTGGCTCAGAATGCTTTGGATGCACTGGTGTCATAGCAGGGCACAGAAGATGGATGCTCCATGAAGTTACTTATGAGCAAGTTTCCCATTTAACATGGACTCTGTGAATGTCCATTTCAAATGCCTGTGTGGATAGCTAAAATTGCCAGCTAAAATATGCAGGCTTCCTTCCTTTCCTAAAAACCAGTTTTGATTGTATATTGATTCTTTTGAGACATATTCTGGAGCTGAAGGTTCAAGGCAAAATGGGAGAAAAGGAATATATGAGCTACTGACAGACTTCTAAAACATTTACTATGGGTTGAGAGTATTATCCTGTGTTGGAAAATGCTGCCCTAAGGCCCTTCTGCCATTAAGCAGTTAAGGGTTAATAACCAAAATATAAACAAAAAGCCAGACAGCAAAGCTCATTATTAGCTTATTGGGTGCCAGAACCCAAATAAAGTTGGTGGATGCACCTCAGAGAATTTCACTAACATGAATGTTCATTGGTTTTACATCCCAAAACCACAGCCCACTGCCTCGTGCACCTACCTGGTGAGACATGGCAGTGACAAGTGCCAGCAGCTGTGAATGTGGAAGTGTGCCAAGAGCACCAAAACAGGAGAAACAGTCTGTTGGGGAAACTCCTTGCCTGAGTCCACTCCAAATGCCTCTGTACCAATCTTGTGAGACACAAGCTATGCCAGAGCCTCCTGGAAATGTTTCTGAAGAAATATTGTTTGAGATGTGCAAGAGCTATTTCACTTACCTCCTGCTATTGCTGTTCTTACTGAAGAGCATTGCTGGGCACCCTGTTTGATTTGTGAGTAATCCCAGGTCTCCCTAAGGCTGGCTGGAATGCCAGCTGCTGGTCTCTCACAAATGAGAATATCCCATGTTTGTATCCCCTGGGAAATCTCTGGGATAGCAAGGTGTGGTGGGAGCTGAGCAGAGCTGAGGAATCAGCATTAGGAGGGCAGAGAGTGATTTGTTGCTGAACAGCAAAGCAATTGGAAGATGCTGGTGGATGAAGCATGAAGTGAAAAGGACTAGAAGATGAGTGCAAGTGAAAGGTGCAGAGCAGCTAAAGCCCTGGGAAGAAATCAAACCAGAAAATTTATTGGCAGGGGGAGAATGATCAAAAGTAACTTTTGGCACTGTGAACAAAGAGAGGTTCTGCTTGCTGTGTGTAGGGACAACACTGTTGGCATTGCAGACATGCCCACCCACTGTAGTGCTTGTCCTGGAGGAAGTTGCCTCCAGGTGCCAAATGTTGGTGAACAGACGTTGCTGGCCTCCCTCTCCTGCTCCTGGGGCTTCAGGATGGAGCTCCTATCAGGGGAGTCCAGAGTGCCTCTGCTTTGAGCACCATTTTAGGGTCTGTGTTCAGAGCAGCCTCCTGCTGGGGAGCAGGGAAACACCCTGAGCAGGGAGGGGAACAGGGAGACACTCAGAGCAGGGAGGGGAGCAGGGAAACCCCCTGAGCAGGGAGGGGAGCAGGGAAACACCCTGAGCAGGGAGGGGAGCAGGGAGACCCCCTGAGCAGGGAGGGGAGCAGAAAGGATGAGGGGGCTCTGCATGGCAGAGGCTGCCCTGAGCTTTGTGTGCTGAATGCAGCAGAGCAGCAGGCTCAGGGTGAGGGGAACACAGGAATAGGTGAGCTGGGAGAAGATTTGGAAAAGTGAGGCCAAGGTCTTGTTTTATGCATCGGGGATGGTTTAAGTGACTGATGCACAGAAACACTTTGCTATTCAAAATGAAATTTACAGGAACTACCAGGAATAGCAATTGTTTTGCTAAAGGATGCAGCTTCCTGCTTTTGGAACCAGGGTTAAGACATGCTTTTTGTTTTTTTCCCGTATTTCTTTCTCACTTCTGCCAGCCTATGACCTTTTATTGTACCTGTTTATTTTCAGTATGAGTCTGTGGGATCCCTCTGTTTTGACAGAAGCAGTAAACCAAAACCTCCTGCTGTCTCAACCCTGCTTCTCTAAGGTTTTGGTGGGTTATGGGTGAAATATATCCAATTTGTATGCTCATGGAGCACCAGAATGTGCAGTAGTGAATAATTTATTTTATTGGCATTTTAGTTTTGCAGAATACATTCACATCTAGAGAGCCTAGATTAAAAGTGGAAAGCATAAAAATTCATTAAAGTGTATGTGTAATTACATGAGATTCAATCATTCTAATATACAGCTTAAATGTATTGACATTAAAGAAATTATTAAAAACTGGACATAATACATGAGAAGACTTAATGAGTGTCACAGAGATCCATTGAGGAAAGCAGGGCATTCACTTTATTGATAAGAGAAAAAGAGATTGGCCTTTTGGCTTGGTAGTTATTTACTTTATGCCACAGTTTCCTACATTTGAAGTTCCTGCTCTCTGGGCTGCTAGAGAGCAGGGGGTGTGAGATTCAAGTGAATGCACAGGATGGTGAGATACACCAGCACCACTCCACTTCAGCCCTCTCCCTTCTTACTCATGGAGCAGCACTGAGTGCCATCAGGAATGGGACTTTCTCAGTCAGGGGAATCATAAGTGCATAATTAAACAGCAGCCAAAGAGACAGGAGAGTGATAGGGGCTGTTGGCCTGATATGGTTTTGCTGGTCACAGCTTCCCCTGCTGAAAGAGCTCCCACTGCAGTAATGATGAAGAAGGTCTTGAACAAAACTTTCTGTTCCTGAAACTCTTCCTTCCAAAGCTGAGACTGCAAGTACTGCAATATTAGAAATTTATACTAGTGCTGTGTGGGAAAAAAACCCCATATTCTCCTTCCAAGGAGATTTCTTCTTCCTCTCTGGAGGTTTCTGTTATCCCTTTGAAGCGCTGTAGCTGGTCGCTGGATTTCTGTCCAGGTCATATGAATTAGGTGGAAAAATGGTTTTTGTGACACAGTGATTGGTCACCTCAAAAAACCAAGACTAATTTGCCTCAAAAGAAATAAGCTTATAAAACTCCTCTGGATTTGGGAATAAGGCTCAGCCTACATTCAGTGTAGGAGTCAATGGTAGGACTGAATGTGCTGCTGCTGAGTCCAGCAGTGTCTGTGTACTTGTCTTCTGCCGCTGGAGTCCTCCATACAAGTCCTACATAACTGCTCTAAGGCATGAAAAAGCTATAGGGAAATAACTTGGAGGAGTGGATTTTTTCTGAGTTATGGTATCCCAGAGGAAGCAACAATAGAGCAAAGCTAGTCTCTCCTTTTAACTCACACTGATTTTCAGAACTGAAAAGCTGTTGCAAAAGACCTCCCAGTGGATTTTCTTCATAGTTTTACAATGGATCCTGCTTCAAGCTTCCTTCTTTCTTTCATATGTGAAATGTAGGTTCAATATTTTGTCCCAACTTGCTTTGGTCTTGCACTTTTGCTCTTTTTTTTGAGTGAAGATTACGTTTGGCTTGTGATGTTGCTGACTGCTGCCCATTCTGGAAAGGTGTTCAGCTGGAAGAGCCTAATTCCCCACGTGTTGATGGCCACCATGACAACAGCCAGGCCAATCAGATTTACACCCAGGCCAGCTTTCACCTGCAAATGCAAAAAGCAAAACAGAGCAACTGAATGAAAAAAATAGTTTTTTTTAACATAGGGAAAAAAAAAAAAAGCAGTTTGTACAATTTATACTGACTCATATATAGTGTGATAATTAATGTATAGTGATTTCTAGAGGAAAAAAAAAACATAAATGAGAGCATATGTGTCAGGGTATATGTTGGAGTATTCAGGAATGAATATTCAGGCTAGAGACTGATGCAGTTCATTGTGAACTGCTGAGTTTGTCACTTGGACTTCTCAATCAGATAATCAGAATGGGGAGTTAAACCACACATAACAGAGTGGTGCTATGTGATAAATCTAATTCTTATGCTCTCTTGTGCTTGTCTTAGTAGTCAGTGCAAAAAGGATTGCATACTCCTAAAGCTCTTTAGACCATTACATTCATTAAAAAAAATACAAATAAGAAATGTGTGATCTTACAGCAGATCTTACAGCAGATCTGTGTTCTTAACCTGACAGCTCTATTGTGTAAGAGCAGTTCAGATATCACTACTTAATATTAGAAGCAATATAGTTTTTTTGGTTTTTTTTTTTTTTTTTAATTAGCTGCTTGATGAGGGATTAGGTGTTGGAATTGCATGAAGCATGGGAGGATATATCAGTGCCAAGACTCACCATATCTTTGATCTGGCAGTGCCCATAGCTGAAGACAATAGCATTTGGAGGGTTACCCACGGGCAGCATCACCGCAAATGAGATGCACATGGTGACAGGAATCAGGGTGTATAAAGGGTTGATAAGCAGGGTTTCTGACTGGAAGAACAGAGGGAGAGAAGTGTTTCACCTGATCAATAAAAGTCACAGCTGATAATGGCTATGAAAGGACCCTCTCTGCTGTGAATCACACCTGCCTAATTTCTAAACTTAGGTGTGAAAGTATTTTTCAGTTGGTTGGGTTTCTTTAGAGCAATGCCATAATTTTGAGCTGGTCGTGCTCCAGGGATCTCTCTTGAGACATTTCACACTGAGGGAGGGTGGAGTTTGCTACTATTAAGACATGTTTGCTCTTTCTCCCACTTGTTCTCTGTATCATTCTGCTTTTGTGTCTTCTGGACCTTAACACAGACTGCTGCTTCAGTCTTCATCCACGAGAAGTCACAACAGGTTAACACAAAGAACTTGCTTCTTCCAGTTGCTGAATATGTTGAGACCGTTATGTGATGTCCTCCTGAATACTGGTTAGGAGAACCAGCTGTTCATGATCCAAATTTGCATGGTGAGAAGGCAGAGATGATGGAATATATTTTACAGTGGGCTAAAGAATGAAGTTTTCAGTGGTGGTAAAATTTTCCATTTTAATTTGCATTGCTTTGGCCCAGTTTTATATGAGAGGGAAAGGAAATGATAAACAAGGCTATAATCATTTGGGGGAGGGAAGTGTCTCCAGGTTACTTTTGCAATCTGAAAAGAGAGTCTGCCTTAAGATGGCAGCTCACACTACAAGTAGATTACTGCTCTAAATATTTTTCAAGAGAATCTCTTTCTGCAAGGAGCAGAAGCAAATTTGAACTCCTAAGCCACAGAAACACAATTACATATTGTGATTTGACCATACTTAATATTAACTCAGAACTGTTCACATAATATGCTTTGGGACAATCCCGTAAAATAGTTATAATGGGGAAAGACGATTAATGACCTCCATTCTTGGACAGAAAAGTTTCACATTATATTAAAAAGGGAAATTTTCTGTAACTGCTATTCCAATATAAAATTCATTTACTCTCTTTCTTCTACCTTTGTCAAGAGCATCCTGATTTTTTTCTGCCACTTGCAAACATCTCTGCTTTCCAGAGATAGAAGACAGTATGCTTTACCAGATCAACCCCTTGAACACTTCTAAATCTGGAATAAAATTCAGCACTCCGTTCTTTTCTCACAAGTAGGGAGCAGGTGACTTCTAAGTAATGAACAACACACTTAAAATAACATTAACAAAAGCATCTCGAGTTTCATGTGAAATTCACCTAACTTGTTAATTCCATAATCACCTTTTCTTGTACCTGGCATATGAATTCCTCAGTGCACTTTGTCTGAGAAGTATTATAAATTCCATGATGCTAAAACATTCTTTTGGATGCCCAATTATGTTTTTGTTCCTAGTTTCAAGACTACAGAACAGTAGCTTGGGAGCTGAGGCTGGGTTTTGTGTGGACAGAGTGCCAAGACCCTGACATCCTGAAAATTCCCACAAGCCTGTGAGGAAACAACAGACTAAAAATGTCACTGTTTTGACTCACCATGCTGCATAAAATAGGCAGAAAGATGGTTATGGTTGCTGGATTACTAACAAATTCTGTTACCATGGACACCAAAATGCAAGCCAGCAGAGTTACAGCCCAGGAGGGAAGGCTGCTCAGGGAGAGCATCTGACGTCCAATCCATGTGGAGAGGCCAGAGGTCTGGGGAAAGGACAGAAGCACAAGAATTACTAAATATTTGGTATGTTTGTCAAACAGATTCTTCTTTCTGTGGCAGTTTACATCAGAGAATCTCACCAGCAAATAAACAAAGTTCAGGTCAATGCTTTCTGCATTTCCTTTTGCTCAGTAAGCTAGATTTCACTGCAGTGAAAGACATATATTGAGTGCAGGGAGTGCTGCCTACTGCATTATGTACAAACTTTAAAGTATCCACATCATAAATCCAAATTGGGAAGCATGCAAAGGAATAAAAGAGCATGTTGATAATATGTTTAGGAAGGAGGATTTAAAAAAATCTACACCAGTACCTTGCATCCAGCAGCTAAGGCATAACCTCCACCAACCAACACTACAATCTCCCAGGGCATGGTCTTCTGAAAGTCCTTCCAGGTAATGATGGGCTCCAGTGGGTTAATTTCTGCTGACTTTTCACCATCTCCTATATCAAATAAAGTGTGTGACCAGTATTATACTGCCCTTTTAGCAAAGATCTTCACGTTTTTCACAAGAATAGAAATGATTGAAGATGCATGGGACTACCTGAGAGAGAGGCAAACAGGCAGTGCAAGCCTGTTTCTCTGGATAATCTGGCCTCACAAAATGCAGCATATCAATTCCAAAGATCGTGACTTTCCCTTGGCTGCTCTGTTAATGTAAACAGTTGTAAACCCCTGTGTCCTCATGTTACAGCTTTTTGAGGGACTGTGTGCTGTGTTGTGATATGCATGTGCATATATCTGTAGAGCACAGAGATGGTGTTACAATGGGATTATATTTTCAAAGAAGGGCTATGAAGTAGTCCATGATGCTTGATAAAGTGCATTTAGGTCCCTAGATTTTATCTGAGGACATTGGGGTTTTTTCAGTGCTTGAGTATTTTCTTAAAGGAGGAGTTAGAGAGTGTCATATTTTCCTAAAACTTGTATAATATATGACAACATAAAAATATATGTTTCTATACATTTATAATCTTTACATAAGTCTCTGCAGACAATTCTGCTTTCATACAGCCCTGCTGAAAGACTGGTGCAGCAAACTGATCAAACCACTGAGTGCTACCCAAACAGAAAGGTGAAATAATCTCATTATCAAGAAGACTGTGAGAGAAGCGTTGCACAAAATCGAAACGTTGTCTGGCACTCTATGACCTGTTTTATGTGTATCTTAAGACATTACAGTGATTTCCACTGTATAAGTGATGAGTAATTTTTTTGCTGGGGTTTACCTTGAGCTGATTTTGCATTATAGTTTTTTAATATGGAACTCAATCTAAACCTTTCCCAAAGCTCAGTCCTGAAGTCTAATAACTGCTAGCACAGAAGAGGTGTCAGTCTCAGATTGAAGTTTGTCATCTTCTGGAGGAGACAGTATGAATTACAGCAAAGGAAAAGGGGGTCTGATGTAGGAAAGGCTGGTATCCTTGACTTACCAACATAAAAGTATCTTCTAGGAACTTTTTACAGACAAAAAAAATAACAAAAAATCATTAGATATTAAAAAATGTACCAGTTCTTGTTCTTAGTGCATTCTCCTCACCTTTTCTTCTTTTTCCAAAACATGGCTTTTTTGCTGGAATCAGGAAAAGGAGAAACCCAAGAAATACAGAGACAGTGGCGTCAGTTCGGTAACCTTTCCTAGGAAAAAAAATAGCAAATTTTTCATAAAAACACTTTAACAGAAACATTTCCAAACCAGGTACATAGCTCCAAGCACATTTCTGCAGGTGCAGTTGTATTCCCACATCTGAAGTCATACTAACAGCCTACTAGAAAAATATGCCTGCTTATCAAGGGTACAAATTAGATTTTTTCCCATTTATTAAACTGAATCTGGTATGCAACTTCAATCACAGCTCAACAATTTTCAATATTCTGGTTGAAAAACAAATAATCCCTTTTGGTTTACAAATCTATTAACTTGGAGGTACAAAAAATAGTGTGTTTACTGTAGTGTAAGAAACAGTAAACACATTCTGGGGAAAAGCCAAACCCAGGTGATCCTTTAGAAATGAACTGTAGATTGATTTTAAATTAAATGTTTAAAAGGCTTTCTGTAAAAGTATTCTGAGGAGCACCAAACTCCAGTGATCATCAGAAAATCACAGTATTAGAAATGGTTTTTCTGTCGAAATTTGAATGAAAAATTAAAGTAATTTTATACAGTAGCAGTATAAAGAAAGCTTACATTCAAATCACTTATTCTTTGATGTGCAAAATGTGTTTTAGTAAGCTTTAATATAATTTGTTTCAATATTATTTAAAATAAAAGAAAAATTTTTTTATTTAGTCACCATTCTCAGCAATATTTAATTGAATGGACATTTTCTTGATAAAACACTTTTTGTCAAAAATTTAATTTCAATTATAGTTGCAATATATTATAGTGAAAACTTCTTTATGAATGCACTAAAATGTTTTAACCTCAAAATCTGACCCTCCTATTCTTTTACATTTGAAATGGTTTAATTTACTTTCTCTACTTAACTCACTTTGAATACTGAGAAAGAATGGAATTTTTCACTATACAAAAAAATATAATTTAAGAAAAAAAATCCTAATTTTTGAATAAAGACTCCATTTTTCACTGCTTTGTTAAATGTGTCTGATGATGTCTTAGGGGGGAAAAAATTGTAGAAAGTCAAAAGAAGCAAAGTTGTATTCCTGTGCAGTAGTTATGGGGATTTTACTCACTTCTCAAAAAAAGATGACCATCCTGGCACAAAGCCAGGCTCACGAGTGAACCAGAGCAAGGTCATCAGGATGAAGAAGAATCCAGTCACCATCTCGGGGTAGCTAGAAATAAAAAACAGAGAAAGCAAGGAAGCAATTCCAGGTCTGTCTGAAAACTCCAGAAGAAGTAAGAAAGTAGAAACTGGCTTTAAAAAAGGATAAAAAAATATATGAAAAATAGCAAGGGAGATTAGTTTGAATGAAAGAATTCTAGATTTGGTTCCCAGCTGGGAACCAGCTAAACCCTGTAAGAAATAGGCTAAAAATATCCATCCGTATTTGCAATGCTATCATTCATGGGCAAGACCTGAAGGAAAATATTTCTAAATGCTCATTGTGTATTTGCATTATTATCTGATTAAATGTGTTAACAAGGTGAAGTTCATATTAGCATTCCACTGTAAACACATTCTCCTGCATTTTTTAGAAGGATAGAAAGCCTAAGAGCAAATGACAATGTAAATTAGCACAGATGGTGCACACAAGGTGACTTGAGGATACCTGAGGTGGCTTGAGGATTTTTAATTTAGCATAGATTTACATTAAGAGTGAGTTCATACTTAGGCACAGCCTGAACAACAGTTTAGTTTCAGAGTTTATCATATTCAGGCAGTTGATCTGTCAATATTTCAGTTAAACAGCACAAAAATGTTTTGTGAAGAAGGAATTCTGTGCCATATCAGCCCTTTTGAAAATGAAAATGTTGCCAAATAATCTTTTCAAGATACATTTCTTGCCATTGTGCATAAATATTATGGGCAACTGGGAAAGCTGGACAACCCATGGCATGGGAAAAAGCCTTTTTTGAACTTATATCCACTAAAATAAGTATGTGCCTGAATTAGGAGAAGGGATCCTTTAGAGTTCAAAGACAAACCTGGACTCAGATGACCTTTGAACTCTGGAATAAACTTGAATCTTTCCTTTCTTTTCCATTTTTTCTCAGAAATAAATGAGTTGCATGTTAGCACACATGCTTGTAACAAAGCCTTTGATTTTAGTTCCTTTTTGCATTTTGTTCTATTCCTATACTGGAGGGGAGAAAAAAGAGCTGAGAGTTTTAGAATAAGCTACAAGAGCCCAAGGCAACATGGAGGAAATAGGAGAAAATGAGAGACAAATTCCCAAGGAAGGCAGGTCTGGTTTACCTAACATTTCCCAGTTTCTTGTATTCCTCTTGAATTCTTCTCTCTGACATTTCTTCCCGTTTGGTCTTCTTCTTCTTGCTCACAGAACAAGTCTCTTTAAAACTGAGATAGCATGAGAAAATTAGGCAAGAGTATAAAGAGGGAGGGGAAAAGTAATTAAAAAAATCTCCAGCAATAGGGTAGACTGAAAATTCTGGTATCAGAGACTGTTGGGAGAAGATGTGACTGAGGCAAGGCCTGATGGCAACGGAAAAGGAAATTACTGTGCATGCTATTTGATTAATCTGATTTCAAGTTCTTTTAAGATACAACTCTAGACATAGTTGGAAGGTTCCCAGGGTGCTCTGACTAGTGCTGATTGGTATCACTGAGCCATGGCTGGGCTCCCTCTGCGTAGGCTTCCTCAAGGAGCTGCCAGAAACCTCCCAAAGCTACAGCTAGAGTCTATCATCACGTGGAGAGATTGTGACAGAGGTCAGCTATCAAGAGAAATTTTTCATGGCCTAACTATGCTTTCCTGGGTTATCCAACATATTTGGGGTCTGGTCTGGCTTTTGAAACCATATTTGCCTTGAGTATTCAGGATTCATAACGAGGGAAAGCTGTGCTTGGGATCCCATTAGCTGCCATGACCTGTCTGCTTCTGCTTATACTGTCATAGTAACATTTGTTTACAAATCAGGCACAGCCAGAAAAGCACCACAGAGGCCAGGGGAGTCACCCTGGTGTTTTGCCCAGGTGAAAAATGCCTGTACTTCTGCCAGGAACAAAAAAACACATTTCCTAGCTGGATATATTGAGCCTCCTATGCACTTGTATGGATGTTAAGTGAATCCCTTAGTTTATTCAGTTTTCCTTCATTCTGTAAGAAAGCATGGACATTCTTAATTGAAATTGAGATGCTTTCAAGCTCACTTTAACCCTCTCCTTTTCTTCTTTCCAGAAGTGTTACCTAGCTGTGCTTTGAGCCAGAGATCCCTCCTTTTTCACTCCAGCTGTACCCTCTGTCACACAGAGGTGTAACAGGATCTAAGCCAGTCTAAAAGAGGCAGCAGCAGTGACTCAGGTACCATGGAAGCATAACTTTTATGGCTTTTTAAGGTGATAATAGATGCTTTTATGGTCCTTGCTATTTTAATATCTCATTGAGTACCTCATTAGGCACCAAGCTGTAGCCCTGGCCAAACCATAGACTGCATCTCCCTCAATGTATCTGCTTAAGGCCAGATCCTCAAATTCCTTTGCATTGCTCAAGATCCAGACAGGCCCTATCTGGTCAACAGAAGGGCTTACCCAGGGGTTGCAATTCACATGTAATGTGAAATATGGAACACAATTTTTTAGCTCACTTAGCATTGCTCTTCATCTATAAGCATTTCAAATTTCCTTGCAAATCTTGCTGTTAGACTTTAGTAAAATCTACCAGCAGGGAGAGACGAGGCTGGAAGAGCCATCCAGGCTGGAAAAGAAGAGCTCTATGATTTATAAAGGACAGCTCTGAAGTAACTTCCACCCTTAGCTCTTCTCTGCTGGCAATGATCCTTTGGTGAGTCCATTCTCTTTCACCTTTGACCTGGGCCAGGCAATAACAGATTGATAGCACAGGGCTTCCTAGGAAAATAACATTATGGGGATTCATTAAACATTTATGCAAAAGCATTAGGCAGCTGTTTCAACAGGTTCCAAGTGTTTCCAGGCTCAGGAGGATGTGAAGGCAGAGAATTGAAGCCCAGCTCCCAATATAATATATTCTTTAATGAAGTGCAGTGAATAAAGTCAGAGATTAAGGAGCCTTGGAACCAACTATTTCTCAAGAAGTCAATAATGCTTCAGTCTCTGGTATTATTTAGAAAAACATTAATCAGCATGAAGTCTTGGATGCAATGTGGAATTTCAATTTTTGTTTTAAAACCAAATTAATTGAGGGTCATGTTAGGACCTGTTTCTCCTGAAGATTAAAAGAAAAAAGTGGCAGAGGGAATTTATATTAGCCTTTTAATTTGGAGCTATAAGACTCAGAGACTGACTGAGAGGGGCATGGAGCCATTCACCTCTAAATTACTTCTTCAAATCTAGTCAAGGTCAGCAGCAAGCAGAACTCATTATCAATTTATTCATTGTCCTGGGTGAAATAGTGATGTCAATTCAGTTTACTTTTAAGAGTGAACTAAATCAAATTAAGGCAAATTTAATTCAGAGTAAAGGTGTCTGCATCACAATTCAATGCACATTAACAAATCCATTCTAAATGCACACATTTGGCAGCTTTCATTAACTTTGTAAAGACAATATGTGGTACAAATGACCTAGAAGACTGAAACTTTTTCTTATTTTGGGGCTTAGGGACTGGTATTAAATGTATTTGTCTCTTAGGCTGTGAGTCCCTTCTACTTTAAAGAGAAATATATATGGAGTCTATTTACCTTTAATTTTAATTGGTTTTATGTTAATTTCATTGAACTGGAAGCAGATCTGAAAAGTAACTTGTTCACCTGCAGGTTTTTTTCTATTAATCTTTTAAACTTTGCTTTTCCAAAAGGACTTATAACAATATATTTGGTCCATGAGGGAATCGTGGCTCAAAATTGTCATAAGAGTGGAAAAAAACCCCAAACCAGTTGAAATGCTTATTATGAATTTCTGTCAGCACTTCCTGGGCACTTCAATCTCAAGCAGCAACACTGCACTGCTGTCTATGCAGGGCAGCTAAGCAGTGAGATTTTGTCTGTAATTGTTCTGGCAACAAGAAGGAAATTGTGCCTTAAATTCTGTCATTTGCCAATCAAAACTTCTTTATGAGACACATTTGAGAGGAGCTGCAGATGCCCTGCTTTTGTAATCTGTGTATCTTGAACAACTTTCACTCACTTGCAGCCCAAGAACAGCCAGTGCAGCCAGAACCAAGTCAGCACCAACATGATGAGGGAGATGGGGAAACTGAACAGAAACCAGGTTCCAAAATTCACCACTTCAGCTTTTGGGTACTGGCTGTAAATTAAAAAAGAGGATGCATGAGAAGTTAGAACAGTACAGGGAGAGGAACCTCCAACAGACATAGCTGCAAACACATCTATGAGCATGTTTTACTGTCATGGGGTGAGAGAAAAATCCCATCAGTTTGCATTTGCAAACAGCTGCATTACCTGTGCAGAGTGAAACCAACAGACAAACCGTGCAGCTCTCCAAACTTTTAATACCAGATGATCTGGATTGTTTGGCCAGCTTCAAAAACACTTGGAGATACCTCAAGTGAAACTCCATCCCTACCTGTGGTTTATATTAAAGCTTCTTTTAGGGTTGGCAGTCTTCAGAATGATTTGACCAGAACCTCTTTCTATGTTTTCTCATGGGCCACACAAATATTGACTGCATTCTGCTGTGCTCTGACAAAGATGTTGGATGTGTGCATTTGATGCAACTCTCATAAAACCAAAATCTTGGAAAATTCTGTAAAATCCAAATCCCTGGATTAAACATGACTTATGAACTCAGTTTTCTGTGCTACCACCATTTAAGAGAGAGAAATGAGAGATATCAAGGCAGTGGTGGTAGCAGGAAATGGTCAGAATCAGATCTGAGCTTGGCTGTGTTTCTGTGCATGAGAATTGCCACCATCTCCTGACAGAAAAACATTCCTGTTTCTGACATTGAAACATTCATGTCTTTGAGAGCCCTGGGCCTATGATAAAGGAAATACTCAGGTGATCACAGAGCTGCTTCTCATCTTCTCTGAAGCAAATGCATAAGGCCACATATCTAAGTTGGTTGGTTGGGGTTTTTTGCACTATATGTTGAGCAGCTGTTTTTATGACATTTTTTCTTTTGTGTGTATTTCTTTGTCTTCTTTGCTCTATCTTCATAGCTTTAGTGTTTACTTTTCTAGAGTGCCTGCTGCCTTTCATGATAACCACTATGTCAAATCAAAAGAAGTTCCTGGAGAAACTTCAGTGTTACCACACTGAGGAGTTTTTACTTTGCATGAGAGAAAGACACGGCTACGCGGCAACCTTCAAACATTAACCATTGGTAATAACATTAGAGTAGAGGAAGAAGCAAATTTTCCTTGAAGGAGAGTGTTCTTCCTAGGGTTTCTTGAGGTAGGAAATGACTCACAAGGATGATAATGACCTCACCAAACCCAATGCCACTTACTTGTTGAAGTGCTCGAGGAAGATGAGGCTGGTGGAGGTGCCGATGATGGTGGTCAGCCCGCCGATGGTGGCTGCGTAGGAGATGCTCAGCGAGAGGCATTTGCACACCATGTGGTCGTGCCTGCTCTGGTACCTGCTGCTCAGCTCCGAGGGCTCGGGGGGCAGCACCAGGATCTGAGCCTGTGGGGGGACACAGTCACAAGCAGAGCAGGTGATCACAACAGCAGCCCAGCTTGCTCTAATGCCAGAGCGACACGGTGTCGCCACATTTCTCTTCACAGAGAAAAGCAAGGCACAGTTCTTCCCAAGGATCTCTGAGATTCACATTATCTGAACCTCAGAGAATGAAAACACAATTCTTATCACTTGTTGTGCCTGTGTTGTGCCAAAGTAGAATGCAATACGGAGATTGTTTATCCACAGTGAGGATGTTTTGTTTCCTTGTGTGTCGGGACTGTCACCCGACATTCAGTGCAGTGTGTGCAGTTGTGTGCAGGGTTGAGTGGCTGGCAGATTCAGTTTAGATGAAATAGATATAGTATAGTATAATAAAGTAATTAATTAGCCTTCCGATATCCATGGAGTCAGATACATTCTCTCTCCCATTTGTTGGAGGCGCCTTTGATTTGCTATAATACAGGGCCCAGAGAAGCAACAGGTTTGTGTAAGAGAGGCCAGGTTTTTCTTCACAGGGATTAACTGGGATCAGTCCTGGAAACTTGTCCCAGGGCCTAAAATGGCCTAGTCTGTGACAAAAATGTAGGACAAGCAGTAATCAGGCTTCTGGCTAAGGTTTGGGCCAGCTCCAGGTCTGATTGGAATATCAGTGGGATACCAAAATCCTTTGAGGGCTGCAGGGACGGGATTCCAGCACTGAGCAGAAGGAATCCATAATCCTTGAGGCTTAGGAGCAGCCACCACACAAAGGCTTGGTGAACTTTTCACACTTAAACGAGCTCAGGGCCTCTAATTAGGGATGGAGTGCTGGGGATCTCAAAACAGAATGGAAAAGGCTGAGCTATGGGAATATGGAAGGAAAAGATGCCAGAAAATTTTGCTCCAAAAGAAGCTTTCATACCAGTGACAGGAGAATGTCTATGTTGGTAGATCAAGTCCTTATACTGGGAAAAAAGGTAGAATGAGGAAAAAGATAGCAAGTGGTTCAGAAATGTTTGTTACATTTACTAATTTTTATTTTGATTTGTTTTTGAACTGTGAACGCAAATTCATGTGTTGAATTTAGCCTATTTTTTCATGCCCATAAACTTATGCCATTAAGGCACTAAAAAATTGTCATCCAAACAGCAACCTCTTCTTGGATCCACTCAAGAGAAGTAGAAATACTGCAATGAATTGATTTAATGGAGGATTTTGAGGCTGGATATTTTGGAAGACAAAAAGGAAGTGGATACTCAGAGTACCCAACAAAGTGGATGAACAGATTAATGGTCTGCTTTTTTCATTCTGAGTAGGCTTTTTTTGTGCCAGGGGTTGTTATTTTTGAGTTGGGCTGTTTTCCAAGGAGGATTTGCAGAAACAAAGTGGCTATTACAGTCAAATAATAAAGGAAACTCGTGATCACATTACTGGATGTAAAGCTAAATGAATTGTCCTAGTCATTGGGGAAGGGTCTTCTGAACACAACTGTGATGGGTGCATCTAAATGGGAGCAAGAACTGGCAAAGGGCCAAGCTGGGGCTGTGCTGAGGTGATGGAGAATGATTCCTTTCAAGGAAATAGTAGGGAGCAGGTGATGTTCACACCTGATTTTTGCCTCACCCCCAGATCTAACATTTCCTTACCTGAGGCAGGTGCTGCCCATTGCTGGTAGAATTCATTGTTCCAATAGGGTTGGCTTTCATGTGCACACCATTCATACCCTGCAAGGGGGAAAATGCCTTTGCATTAGCCTTTCTTGTGTTCCATGGGGCACTTGTGAATTTGTGATGCTTTGTAAAGGTGACTGGGTGGCAGGCTTTGGGGGCAAAAAAAGAAAAAGAAAAAAAGGTTCCAAAACTACAAGAAAATCCAACACACTAAAATCAACTGTTAATTTTAAATTGGAGACAAAAAATTAAGCTCCCTGCTTTTTTTTTTTTTTTATTTTTAAGTGATTTTAAAGTCAAATTATAATGAGATTAGGTCTTCCTCTGGCCTGTCTGAGACTCTAACAGGTCCCTTGAGCCTGTGACTTTGTGATGTGTACAGGCTGCTGCAGCAACCTGAGAATTCTCAGCTTCAGAAGCTGGCAATACTGGAACAACGAAAGATCATATCTGGATTTGCTAGAAACAATTTGGAATTGTTGGTTCTCTGACTGGATCTCAGGATCTCCAGCAAGGAGTACAACAGGCTTCTATTGTTTTGTAATTCTCTTTTTGGAGCTAATGTTCCCCAATTGATTTGTGCTAGCAAACTGACAGGTTAAATACAAAGCAGGACATTCTGCAATACCTAATATTTGCCAACAACCACCACACATTTGAAATAAAGGGACCAGCAGGTTTTTTTTCAGAGCTGTGTGCATTTTGCTCTGCTGGTTCCTGCACTAGAAGACAGAGTAGCACAGAAGATACCACCTATGACAATACCTTTGAGTGCACCAAGGAGCTCAAGTCAGTAGTAGAAGCACTAAAAACAAAGAAAGGAAAAGATGCTTTAAAAACGCCTGTTCATCCAGCTACTGCAAGAGGGACATATCATGGGGAGGAAGGGAGAACTAGTGCCTACTGAAATGCTGAATAACACTTATTAGAACCTCTTATGTGGGCTCTTGGCCAAAAAGTAAGCCATTATTATGTTTCATAGCTCAATCTCTAGCTGTGTAACAGTGGAGTTCCACCTCCATGCAACAAAAAAATTGTTTCTTGGTTTTATTTACCCCATTCTAGGAGAGGACTCCACTCTCTGTGGAGTGGAGGGGATCACCAGGCAATCCAGCATCACTGCTGCCTGTTCAAGTTCTTCTTCTGCCAACTTTTCCAATGCTGTTTCTGAGTACCCACCTGTACCACATTAAAGCCTTCCCTAAAACCTGCTCTGTCTGGCATGTGGATCACGCAAACAATCCACTGAACTTACTTCCAGAAAATGTGCTACTTTTCCTGCCAATTTCAAAGCTCTTTTTCAAGTAATCCCATTTTAATAATAGTTCTGTTTGAAATATCGCACATATACTCTTCAATAGGGGTTAAAGGGATTGATGGCACAATGCCAATCTGAAGATTTGATTCTATATTGCATAGAAAATATGGCTGGGGTAAAAAGAGATAACAGAGGGAAGATTGGAGAACCCAAATAGTCTCTAGACTAATGAGAAAACTATTTAGATCTTGCAAGTTAAAGTCATTAACCTGTACTGTTTGAATGATAATATTTGCTTTAAAGCATATTAAAATCTAAAGTAAAAGAAACTTGTTTCTCTTTTGTTTTGAGCAGTTGCAAACAATACAGGAGGAACTCAAAAAGAGACTGTGTAAATTTGTTCTCAAACTTCATAAGATGCTCCTCAGAATTGGCCTATAATAAATTTTTAGAACATTAGCTTTGTATACTGTCTTGTATATCTTGAACTGATGCTTAATTAGATCGTTTGACAAAGAAATTATTCCTGTACTTGATTTACCCTTTCCCCTTATTAGATTCTTCCCCAAACAGAAACTGCTGGTGTTTCAAAACTGTGAAGAAATTAGTCTATATTTAAAGAGATCTTCTACAAATTTTGTAGGGGAGGAGGGGTGGTTTTTTGTGGGTTCTCCCTCCCCCCATGTTCCCCTGCCCTCCACTCCCATCTCTCTTGAATGCAGGCAGTTCAGACTTTCTTCAGGAAGGCTCTGTAAGTGATATATCTGGATATGTCCTGTGGGTAGTCTGTGCTGTACTTGGATCCTCTTCATCACTGTTCCTTCAGGGGAACAGAATAAAAACCTGTTTTTTAGAAAGGGACAGCCCTATCTTACACAGCACAAACACAGTTTCCAAAGAGCTATCAAACCCCTAGAAATATTTCCCTTCTCCCTAAAATATCCATAGTGTTAAAAAATAAATAAATGCTGCAAATTCTAGTGAGATCCAGAGCATTGCATGAATCCCATTTATCATGTAAGCCTTCCTTGTCAGTCACATGTGACACATTCACTTGTAAGGTTCTGCTTGCCCTTCCTGGTTCTACTCCTGGGTTCATCTCATTGCAACCTGTGCAGGGCTCAAATGTCCAGTCCTGGTGTACAGGGGTCATTCTTACTCCTCATTGATGAAGATAAGCTCCAGGGAAGGCTGCCCGTGCTTTTCACCGAGACCTGCAACAGAGGAACAGAGAGAGCCCTTGGGGGAACAACTGAGCTCAGCCCCTGGCTCACACCCCTGCACCTGGAGGAGCTGCTGCAAACAAAAGCTTTGTCCAAACACTCTCAGGTGCTCCCTTGTTGTGGCACCTATAATAATTTTATTATTTTGTATTGTACTGATCATGTACATCTGGCAATTAAAAGACTGTGATACCTACGTGTAATAGACAAGGTTGGATGAAATAATTTACAGCCTGGAAACTGTAAAGTGAGAGAAAAGAGAGATTCTTTTCTTCCTAAGCCTTCTTCTTCTGTGAAGGAATGAATAAAGTGAACCTTAGAGCTCTTATCAATTTTTTATTATGGGATTGTCAAGAGGAAACTTCTGAGCCTCTTCTAAATTTCCTTGACTTTATTCCCAAAGGTTTCCTTCCAACCCTGTAAAATCTTTGGCCAAGAGTTTATGACACACAGCTACAGCAGATGCCCTGATTCAGTATAAATAATTTCCTAACTCCTATTCTTCCATCACTTCTAAAATTTCCTTTGAAAGGAATATCAGAGTACAAAAAAGAATATCAGAGTACAAAGAGTACATATCAGTGGTTTTGGCAGTATAAGCCAGAGAGATCTGACCTGCATAGAATTTCAGTAAAATGTATCAACAAGTGAGTTCACTGCCAAACAAATGAGCAAAGAGTGAACGCCAATACTGACAAATACCTATGGGCTTGTTTTCCTCAGCAGTGGTGCTGCCTGCAGCCGTGATGGCCTCGCACTCCTCCTCAGCATTCACCAGCTCCTGGAGCACTGCCTCCACGATGGGCATCACCATGGCTGTGCTGGAGGTGTTGGAGAGCCACATGGAGAGCACCGTGGTGCAGCACATAAAGCAGAGCAGCAACCTGGAGTGCAGGGCAGGGAAACACGGGGAGTCAGAGGAGGCAGAAAAAGGAGGGAAAATTTGTAAGCTGTAAAACTCTGAGAGATGGGTATAAAAATGCCCCAAACCAAGGAGCTTTTGCCCATGGATGGGAAGATCAGAGTGGCTTCAAGCTGCTGCTCCCAGCCTCAGCCTGCCCCAAAGCCAAGGGTGCACTCACATGCCTGGCTTGGCTCCAGCCATCATCACCATGCGCAGGGCGATTCGCTTGTGGAGATTCCACTTTTCTACAGAAGCTGCCACACAAATGACACCCATGAGGAGCAGGGTTGTGTTCTTGAAATACTCAGCAGCCACCTGCATTAAGGGCCGGGGGGAAGCAGACAGTTAAAAAAAGCAGTAAATACAGAGAAATCATCCTGAATGAGAAGAAATACAGCATAGTGCATTTTTGCTTCCTCAAGTAAGAATGACAGGGAAGCTGGAGAAAATGAAGAATTCATAAATCAAAATACTCTCTTTAATATTTTTCTTGTTGTGTTTACAAATAAGGCTCTATCCCCTGTTGTTTACAGGCCTCTGAGTTTTGAAGAGATCAAGAGAAATGTTATATGTGCAAGCAGGATGCTCAGTGCCTGCAGTGAGTCAGTCATACTCAGCTAGGCTCAGATGGAAACAAGCACAGACTAAAGTGCACTGAAGGCAGCCTATTCATGTGCTTCAGCTGTTTTTTCCTTCTGGAGGTGTTGTTTATCTTGCCTATCTTTATTCTATCTTGTTTGGCTTTTGGGAAAAATGTGGCATCCCTAGAACTTACTGCATCAGAATAAAAGTCCTTTGGGAGTTGCTCTTTGAATGCAATAAAAAAAGGGTCGGTATATTTCTGCAGTAATCCACAAATCCTGTGTCAAAACTTGTCACATTGGAAATCCATTTCCATTTTATCAGGAAAAGAGAGAAAAGTTTCAAGAATAAGAACTTTTATTTAAACACAATGAGCAAAACCCATCACTGCCTCAGGAAAATATTCAAAAATATTTAAAATATCCAAAGCAGGAATTGTGGATGTAGGTCTTACTATAATATGAGAAGATATTCTGTGAAGCAACTGCAAAAATGACAAATTAAGCAAACCATAAAATTCTTACTCAAACATACACACATAATTCTGTAAAAACAAACAAAATGGGAGAAAATAAGAGTTACAAAGAGATGCTTGGGGTCTAGCAAAATTTTTCATTTCATTTTTATGAAAACCTTCCTAGGCTGTTGCTGGAATATTTTTCAAAAAATGTCATTTCTTCAGTTTAAAACTAGTTCTCTAATGAAATGTAGGTGCCAGCATTTTAAAACTATTAAAGTCAGAGGAAGCAATAATTTTTTCCATTGTCCTCAGTTATACTGATGCTCCTCCATAAAATGCAAGAATGACAATAATATTATTTTGTGAAATTTGCAACAAGTTATATATCTAATGACATTTATTTAATAAATCCCTATGGTGACTTAATAGACTTGGCCATCATAATTGTGTGCCAGAACTTTTAAATATCACCTTTTTGGCTTTCTTCCACCAGTTTCTTTCTCATGAACTTTCTTTATTTTCCTGCTACCTTTTCAAAAAATAATGAGGTGAATGAAGGAAATCCATGAATCCAGCAGCATGAAGAATCTGGGTTTTTTTCTCCTTTACTCCTTTCACAGCCATTTTGGAGAAATAAGTGAATGCTAACAGTCTCATTAATACCAGCATACATATATATGACACACTGGTTCATGCTCTTAAGCCCCTGTGAGTAATTTGTAGCTTAAATAGCAGTAATTTTCTAGGCAAGAGTCAATCCAGAACAGCAGATTGGAAATAATGCTCCAGAGTTGTTTACTTTTGCATGCAGGGATTTATTTCAGCTCCTAAAGCAAATAATACATTCTTTGCAGTAGTCTTACTGTCATTTTATTTTCTATTGCGTTGAATTTCTCTCAGGCTGACATTAAATTTCCTTCTCCAATGTGCTGCCAAATTTTTAATGAAAATGCCCAACTACTTTACCTTTATGTTAGGAAAAAAAGATTGTGAAAATACTGAGTTGTGTTGGTATGAAAATGCATCTCATTTTATTACAAAACTTGGGGGAATAAGCAGTCATTAAACTCCCAGCTCATGCTTGTTTCTATCCATTTGTGGGTATTCCCAGAGCTAGATTGTGAGAAAAATCCAACAATTTTATGTTTGCTACATATTCCTCTGCATTCTTATCTGTATTACTCATCCTTAAATCAAATGTGCTGTCCCCTCACTCCCCCAAAAAGAGATAGAAAAAGGCAGGGGAAAAAAAGTTGCAGAGAAAATAAAATAAATTCTTGGCTTATAATGAAAGAAATTAACATTCAAAAAAACCTCAAGTAAGCAAATTCAGGACTGATCATAGAAACTTTTCTGTACAGCTACTCCTTTGCCTAAAAACTTATGGCTACAGTGCAGCAGCAGGTTACAGCTTTGAAAAAAGGCTAGACATCCACCTTGATAACGAAATTATCCAGCCTTTTCCAGTAAATGGTAGCTTGTTTTAGCCTCTTGCCTTATATGTAGCCTCTTGCCTTGTATGCCATCCACAATAAATAAAATTGCAAGGAAACTTAACAGTGAATCCTATGGCTGCTGCTCACATGGATTTGAGGAGGGCAGATGTGACAGTGTTCACAGGGGTCTGAGGATGAGGGAAGAGACGAGGATCTGACTCCATGTTTCAGAAGGCTTGATTTATTATTTTATGATACGTTTTATATTAAAACTATACTAAAAGAATAGAAGAAAGTATTTCATCAGAAGGCTAGCCAAGCATAGAAAAGCAAGAATGATAACAAAGGCTTGTGTCTCGGACAGAGAATCTGAGCCAGCTGACTGTGATTGGCCATTAATTAGAAACAACCACATGAGACCAATCACAGATGCACCTGTTGCATTCCACAGCAGCAGATAACCATTGTTTACATTTTGTTCCTGAGGCTTCTCAGCTTCTCAGGAGAAAAAATCCTCAGGAAAGGATTTTTCATAAAAAATGTGTCTGTGACAGGCAGAGGTGGGATCCTGTGGTGCAATAGGTGTTGGTCATTGTTGGTGAGGCAGGAGCTGAAAGGATGGACACCTCTCCTGGCTCTTGTAGCCTGTCTCATATCCTACATCTATCTTCAGATGAAGAAAGAGCAGGTGGGACTCAGTTGCACCTTACAGGATGAACACTCTTGCCTCTCATGCCTCTAAGTCTCACTGCTGCACTAAGATCAGCCTTGTTCACATAATTAGCTGAGAACAAGAACATGAAATGATAAAAACACACAATGGTCTGACCTCGCTGGACTTCATGACCCCAAAGAGAGGATACAGGAAGGCAGGAACCAAGGCTGCTGCCCCAAGGGGCACTGCTTCAGACACCCAGTACACAGCTGTCACCACAAGCACGTAGGCACACGAGGCTTCCTGCAGGGACAAGCACAGAGGATGAGTGTTACTGCCCACCACATGCTCTGGGGAGCCCTGGGAACTCACCCTTAGGATTCTTCAGACTGTGGGTGCCTGGGTTTAAAAAAAAAAACCAAAAAGGAGTGCATTGGGACCTCCAAAGGTGCAGCTGTTTGGGTGTGAAATCTTGGCTACCTTCTCAAAGGAGGGAGTCAGTCAGAAGATGAGGATAATGAAAGTTTTCACATAAAAGCAAAGCATTGGGATAAGACCATTTATCAGCAAAACAATGGCATAAAGTGCATTTGCAAATTTGTTTGTTTTCCATAATCCAATATTTACCAGGCACTTAATCATGACTTCTCAAATTAGACCTGTTGACCTGTTATCTCAGGATATTTGTCCCTCCAGTCCTGGACAAAGACAGGAACTGGTAGTTTTCAGGACTGTAACTGTGTTCACAGGGGTTCTTGGATAAGGGAAGAGATGAGGATTTGACTCCATGTTTCAGAAGGCTTGGTTTATTATTTTATGATATATATTACATTAAAACTATACTAAAAGAATAGAAGAAAGGATTTCATCAGAAGGCTAGCAAAGAATAGAATAGGAAAGAAGAATGATAAAGGCTTGTGGCTCGGGCTCTCTGTCCGAGCCAGCTGACTGTGATTGGCCATTAATTACAAACATCCAACATGGGCCAATCACAGATGCACCTGTTGCATTCCACAGCAGCAGATAACCATTGTTTACATTTTGTTCCTGAGGTCTCTCAGCTTCTCAGGAAGAAAAATCCTCAGGAAAAGATTTTCCATAAAAGATGTCTGCGACACAGGACCAGATGAGAGCATTCATATTTGCCATAAAACTGCCTTGTAATTATATTGGGAAATGCTCTAGAAACTTGGGGTTGGGGTTTTTCATTGTTTTTTTAGTTTGCTGGGTTTTTTTTAAGCAATGTGCAAACAGTTTTGTCAGCTGATTTTATTTGCTCAGATAATTCCTACAGACCTTGGGAAGAAGACCACAGGACTGAGGGGTTGGAGGCAATGGAGTTAATCAAACAAATTTGCTGCTGTCCAAGGTTCTGGTTGAAAAAGGCAGGAGAGCATCATGGTGAGCAGTCATGGGGAGCTGGGGTATGATAGATAAAAGTGCTATCTGCTGAATATTCTTACAGGAAAACACAGCTAGTGAATGGAAGTCTACTGGTCCATTTCTTTAGAAATGTCTTTATTTATGGCTCTCATTGGACTCTCCTTAAGCTCAGTTTCCTATACTTAGCAGTAGTTTCTGTACTTGGAGACCTGGGGATGTCTGCTGGTAATAATTATGGAAACTATCCTCAAGAAAAGGTTTTTCCTTTTCTTTCTCTTTCTCAAATTTGAAGCCAAGTCCTGTACTTGCCTTAACCTGCTGTTCTATGGTGGTTAATAGATCTGCACCAATTTATTCCAACTATAAATTTATCTGTTCTTCATTTTGCACCAGATGCTCCATGTGAACCTATCAAGCCGTATGGAGTCACAGCTCACAAATGGCTATTGTTTAGAAAATTCACAAATACTATTTGAGTCTCTTAAAATATAATTTTATATATTATACATCCATCCTGGCTGGATGACTTCTAAATAAAGCACTTTTCAAGAGGCCTCACAAGCAATTCTCACAGATCCTTGTGCAAATCAAAGAGCATGTTTTACATTTCATTGTTTTCAATCAGTTTTGTGAACAAGGTATCAGGCCTAGTGAAATTATACAGGGATGTGGGTTCAATGGAATTAATCAATAGCTTGTATTTAAATTCATCTTTATAGATGTCATTTTTTCATTACCTCTAAAAAAGAGCCACAATCAGATGTTCGTTTTTGAAGTACAGCTTATAGTAACAACAGGCATAACACAGCCCAGAGAGGAAGTTAGGATAGGTTGATATGTACTATTTCCTTTACTTGGGCAAGAATTCTAGCCAAAGTTGCTCAGAAGCTTGGATTTAAATTAGCAGCCAGATCTTGCTTTGACTCCTGTTTCAGAAAAGTGTAACATTAAACAGTTATAATTCAAAAAAGCTAGGGTGGGTTTATATTGGATATTGGGGAAAATGTCTTCAGCTGTAGGGTGAAACTTAGCTCTGAATTAGCCAACTTGCTGCTCAGTCACGTTTAACTACATTATACCTCAAGGTTAATATTCCACAGAGAGCAGAGCATGGGGCCCTTTTTGTGACCTAGTGACTCCAACGCACTTTTAATTTTTAACTCATTAGCTTCTGCTAATGTTTGCATGGGTTCTGCATCAGATTCAGCAGTTGCCTGAGGAGAAAAATAACTTCTAATTAAAGAAGAATCAATGATTTTTTCATTTTAGAGCAGTCCAGATGTAAGATCCAAGGGGCATCCAAACCATTTTCTCACTCCAAAAATATACTTCTCTCTAATTTCTTTGAGCAATTATGTCATTTTCTATTACTCCTCTGTGTGTGGCAAAAAAAGTGGGCTGGTAGTGAAAATGGGATAGGACAGAGGGAATTTGCATCTCTACCAAAACCTTACTGGGATGGGCACTAAGTCTTTGTGTTTCCCATACACTAGGCTGTTATCATTTTCCAAAAGAAAAAACCCAAATAAATTGCATTTTTAAATGGTACAAAACTGTAAGCAAGCACTGGGAAAGCCAAGCTTGCTAATCTCCACTAAAAACTTAATCGGCTTGTCTGGCAACTTTATTTATTTTCTCTGCTGGTTTCCAAGAGAAACCATATTAATCTCTTCCATTTAATTAAACTGAGTTTATATATTTAATTAATGGTTACCAGAGCTACTAAGTATTGCACAGAAGCAGTGGCAGTGTAACTTTAACTGTTTCCCCCTCCTCACTTGTTGTTTTACTGCTGAAGAATTCTGTTAAACCCACCTCAGAGCTTGAAGCAGGGAATAGGAAAACGTGGTGGTTGGAGGGACTATAATCTAATTATCTCTCTTCAGTCAGCCCCTTGGGTTAAAAGAAGAGCTGAGAGGAAGCCATGGCTAAAAACTCCACACTAAGGGTCATGCATAAAACTTCTGTAACTAAAATATCCAAGGATCTCAGAATGCTTAAAAGGAAGAACAAATTCTATATGTTGGAAATTTGCCCACTTATTTGCCCATTGCATATCTTGCATGCAGACATGTGGTTAAGCTCTGCAAAGAGGTAGTCCAGCCTCTGGGATAACATCTTTGATTTTACGGGATCATGCTGAAATTCCATCCTTCAGCTTGCATAAATAAAACCAAAGGTGAAAGAAAATGAGTCAGCTGTGGCTCTCCAGAGCATGTTCTGTGCTTTAGGGTCCATTCTGCTGATTTGGCACATCAAGGGGCCACCATCCCCTGATACTACATTCTCACAGCCCTGCCAGCAGGTGACTTTCAGGCGTCATCCAAATGTCCTTGACTGGGTGCAGGGTGGCCACAGCAACAGTGGGCACAGAAAGCCTGTCCCCAACCGGCTGAAATCATGTGGCATTCCTTGTGGTATCTCTGGTGGCTTCATGGCAAAAAAAAGAACCCCAAAAACCAGATAAAGATTACAAAAAAGAAGCAAAAATGCTCACATGTCACTGTAAACAATGAAGGAAATAAGGACAGAAGGAAAAAGATCCTCAGTTGGGAAAGCACACACTTTTTTTTTTTTGACCTGAAAGGCATTTATGTATGTCCAAACCTGTGGTACAAGTTCAGTCATAACTCTGGAAGGGGAAAAAGAATTTGAGCAAGTTTTCTCAAATTTATTCTTAACACATTTCTTTTCACAAAATAATGTAAAAGAACCTGTGGACTTTATTCCCATTAGCAGCATCTACCACCACTCCTTGTGCTCTCTTTGATCTCTTTTGCCACTACACATGTAATGATCCTTTGACTTTTCCAGAGATGTGCTGGTATCATCATAGAAACTGCAAGCTGATTCCCTGCAGAAATGCAAATATAAATGACCTGGTAATTTCAATCCCTATAAAAAAGACAAAACCCCTAATATAATTGCAAAAACACAAGCATGTGAACAGGCATCAAATTTAATCTCCACATTTAAAAAGTAATCATAGTCAGTGGGTTGTAACAAAATAAAATCTACACAAAAGCACTTGGATAGTGTTCTGTTGACTGAGTTTAAATGGTGTAGATGTTTTCTTAATAGCACTATAAACATTTGTCCAGCCCTTGCTCAGATTGTCAGCTGTGCTTTACCCTCTGTGGTCACTCACATATCTACAAAGTGGATGTAAATCTCCCCTGGATGGATTTTCACATCACTTTGCAGCAAAGCAGCACCATGAGGTGCAGAGTAACAGTGCAGAGCAGCTTGTGCTGTACAATAGCAATTCCTGCAGCAATCCTGTCAGTGAACTCCTGCTTCTGCAGCCACAAGGTGCTTTACATGAGCATGCCAGGGAGCATCTCTTACCATGTCACCCTTCCAGGGGCACCAGGGGAGATTAAACCCCTCTGCAGAGCAAGCCTGTGTGACAGGATGAGCCTTTCTCTTCCCTGAAGAGCACAATTGTCTGTTATTCATCCGCTCTCTTGAGATAAAAGAGATGAAAAAGCACTCTAAGAGAACAGCCAAGATACATGGAAGTTCAAAGCAGGAAAACTCAAAGTGCAACACACAGTTCAGTGGTGCAGGAATGTTTCCTTGTTATGAATTCTGGTTTATTTTCCAAGCAAAATGTCACTGTTTTGTTTTTGAAATCAGCTATGCAATTTCCAATCCTTTGCATTTCTATTGGGTAAAGTACCAGCATTCATAAATCCCCTGATACTTTATAAGGAAGAATGAATCTTTAGCAGGGTAGAGGGTGGAATTGGATATTGCTGCACTTTTTGGACAGATTTATGTCTAGGTCTATGAGGAAGGACAAGCTGCAGATTTTTAATATATTGCAGATTTTGATAAATTAAACATCACCACCTCTCTAAGGCAGAAAAATGTTGCTATGGGACACAAAATAAAACAATATGGACACTGGAACTTCCAAGGTAAAAAAAAGGAAGTTTAATTTCTGACTGTAACATTTATAGATTTTCAAAAGTAACAGAGGATTGGAGGATGACAGTGTCACCTCTCCAATGACACTGGACAAACTAACAGTCCATCAAATTTCTCCTCCTCCAGAAAAGAATGTAAACCAATAATTATTTACATAAAACTGCGTAAGAAAGTTTGTTACAAGAATGTAAACATCAGAGGGCTTAGAAGAACTGAGAAGAACAGGGCAACAGAAAAACATTGCTATTTTATGAGTTAGAAAGAGATCCAACATTTCTGCTTCAAAGCAGTGCTTTTCTAGCTTCACCTGGCTCTGCTTGTGACACAACTCAAGGCAGCTCTAGCTCTCAGAGATGGTTTCTCAGTGACCCTCACAGTCCTTCAAAGATGAGTCTTTGATTTTTCTAAGCTCTGTGCTTCTTGACATCTTTGTCTTTCCTTCTGCACGCTGCAAACTTAATCAGCAGGACTGCCTGCTGCACTCAGAGTGTTTGTTTAAAAAAAATGAAAATGTACTTACACTGCTGGGGTATATGAGTGGCAGAGGAAGCAGCAGAAGTGGAATGAGAACAACGAGCAGGAGATTTCTGGATTGGAGGATCTCCTTCATCACTGCCATGCTCCTTCTGGTGCCTTTCTTCTCCTTCATGTTCTTCTCTGGTTCCTCAGATATTCCAATTTTCATGCCACGTTTTCCTTCACCTGTGCCTGGATTTCCCTCAAAAAACTCTCACAATCTCATGTCCTATCCCCACAGCCACCTAAAATATCTTTCTTGCTTTATTTATTCTTCAATCTGTTGTTTTGAAAAGGTTTTTCAATTAAAAATACATTCAGTTTAGGTAGGGCTCACCAGCACATCCGAATTATTATCACACCATAACATGCAGAGGTTTGCAAGTTGGAGCATAGTGATCTTTTGACAAATTTTCTTTTTAATTCAGACTCACAGTTGTAGATGTGTTGTATCCTTATTCCCATGTCTTATAAAGTTTTTTCTTCCATCATCTAGTGGTGTTATTTCCTTTTTCATAAACCAGGCAAGATATGTTTTGAGCTGCTGCTTTTCCTCTTGTTTGATAGTCTGAAAATCTCAAACACAGCTGATTTTCTTCTGGACGATTACTGAACCAAACAATTTATTTTCCAAAGCATAGAAGTAAATTTTCAGGTACCTCTTCTTTAAAGAAAAGACCAACCCCCCCCTCCATTTGCAGGTCCTTCAGATTTTATTTCTTTGCTTCTATTTTCTATCTACCTTTACCCTACTTTTGCCCTGAGCTTGGAATTCACAGGGCAGTAATTCCAACATGGATTATACTTGATCTCAAGACAAACATTTGTTAAAAAGCTACAGGCAACTCTAATTCACCAATGAGGACTGCAGAAGGTAGAAGTTGCTCCACCCATTGTCCCAAACCCAGTCAGAACATTTGAGAAAATCAACAGCCTTCTGACATTCCTACAAATATATAAAAAGACCCTTTTTTAGGCTGCAGAACAGTTTGTTATTGTTGCAAGGTCCCTGTACTGATGATAAATAAATAATTGTTGTTTTCTGAACAGTATCTTTTGTCTTTGTGTTTCTTCCATCACAACCCTTGAATGTCACTAATTCAGAAGGCAGGGGCTGATCTCTGTACTGACTCCTGTGCCTCGAGTAACCACAGGGTTCCAAATCAAATTGAGAACTTTTTGACTTTCTGCTCTTGTCTTCTAGGGGAAAAAAACATTTCTCCAACTCTTATGTTATTAATGCTTTTTTTTTGTGGAGCAGAAAGCACTGGAGATTTAGGAGTGAACCCACTGGCTGGTTACATGCACCATCTGTAGACAGACAAATGTATATTTGCCCTGTGTCTCATGGGAAGAACACATCTAGGATTTTCCATGCCCCCCAAACTTGCTTGCCTGTCCTCTGCCAGAAATCTAAGATACAGTTATTAATTTCAGGGAGAAATCACCCTGCACATCAAACTCCTCTGCAAGGCTGCATTTGCCAGGTTTCCAGGACTCAGGGTCACAGAGGCATCACAGTCCAGTCTGGGGAGCTCAGTTTTTCACTGGAAACCTGGCAAATGCAGCCCTGCAGAGGAGTTTGATGTACAGGGTGAATTCTTCCTGAAATTAATAATTGTATCTTAGAGTTCTATATCTCAAACCTTCCATCAAGCAACAGAACCTTGAGACATTTCAGGTAAATTTAACAACTAGATCTGGAAAAAAAGGTATAGTTAATGTAAAGATTTTGGGTTGGCCGATACAGCTCAGGATCTCTTTTTTTCAATAGTTTCAGAGAAACTAAGTAAATAACAACAACAAAAAAAGTCTAAAGTGTTTATATAATGAAAATTTGTTTTATTTTAAATGGAAAAATTACAATCTTATTTTGTATTTTTATGACCCATAAGGTCAAAGGGTGGATAAAATGTGCCCTTTAGGGGTAATGGTTTTCTAACCTGCCCATAAAGAAGATTCAGTCCAAAGTGATAAGACAAAAATTAAGATAGAGAGAAGACAACCTACAGCTGCATCTTAAGCAATACTGAGGCAGGGAAGTGCCCTAAGCCAAGCGAACTTTCCTGAAGGCAGAGTGCTCTTTTCCACTTGAAGCCTGAAAAAAGGAGGCACCCTCATTTCTGTTTGTTATCTCCTTCAGAGGGAAGGGCTGTTCCCTCTTCTCTCCAGTACCATTGTTCTCATGCAGAGTTTCACAGTCTGAGAGAAGCAATTACTCACGCTGAAGTTGCAAAATAGTAAATCTACTGCTGGAATCAATACGATGCAAAGGCAAGGACTTTTATGTAGAATGTTTTTATTATTACATTGAGAGTCTCTGTTAAATTAACCTGGGCAGTCCAAGCACTTTCCCAAGGAATAAATCTTTTTCTTACATTACAAACAGTAAAAGAAGGAGGGAAACAAACTCATAAAACCTTTATTTTCTGTTGAGGACATAAATGTTTCAGTTACCAATTTGTAAGTACGGTAAGGGATGTATGCCATAGGGAATTATAAAATATTTAAAAATATCTGTAATTCTTTTTTATGGGATATTTTTTTATTAGTAAACTCTGCTGGGCAGTCCTGTTGTGGGGTGAGGAGCATGGCTGGGAGGTATTTCTCTGATTGGTGAGATAGTATTAATATTTGCTCTAGTTGCCTGATAGCAATTAATATTTGCTCTAGTTCTTGTGTTTTTGCAGATGGAGAGTAGCTGGCTGTGAGGCATTTCTGAATTGCCCTGGTTCCATTTATTAATTGCCCTGGTTCCACCACAGCCCTTCCAGCAAGTGGTGTTTCAGGGAGCCCAGAAGCAGAGCTGTAAAGGCAGTGTTGCACTCTGTGGCATTTCCCCTTCATGTGTTCACAAAGCATGGAAGAGGGGAATAAATCACAAGCAGATCATCAGAGTTAAAGCTGAGGGCTCAGAGGGCACGTGGGCGGGAAAGCAAGGCTGCTCTGGGGCTGCTGAGCTCTGTGTGTGCAAGCAGAGGAGACACAGAGGTTTGGGGCACACAGCTTTGTGCCTGAGGTTTGCAGTTTCCTTTGCCGTCTGCCAGACAGGCTTTGAGGATGGCCAACAAAATTCTCCAGGTATAAAAGTGTGCTTACACATTTGTGTGTCTAAATGAATGTGCACTCTCATACACACAAATCCAGAAACTCTTGGGAGAAACAAGACTGAGTCTGTCTTTTATAAGCCCTTTGTCCAGCTGCTAATGCCATGGCCAGACTGCCCCAAGGCTGCTGTGCCTCCCCAAACCCACAAACTGGGTTTGTTTGCCAAACCCAGTGCTCTGACTGCTTACACTGTGCTCTGGGTAGATTTTTTCAGCTCCAAGCCTTGCGAAACCCCTGTTAAGGGACACAGAAAAAAATTAATTGCTTTTGCTCAAGTGATGCAAAAGCAGTTAAACGTGATTCAGAACTTGGGCTGGAATCCTTAGGTATGTTTTAGTCTCAGGGATTTGTGATTTAGACCTGCATCCTTAATATATTATGCACTAGAAAAATAGCGAATGATGATATGAAAGGATGAAATAAATGTTCAGCTATTTTCCCATGGTCTGGAAGCAGAAGCGCCTCTAATATCAATAGAAAAACAGAGTTTGTATCTCCTGTGCACAAACATTCAGAGGTTTGATTTAGAAGAGTTTGGATTTTTGATAGCTAGTCACTCTTCTGACAGATTAGATCTCCTTTTTCTGTCTATTTTCCTTTCATGACTTTTTTGGGAATTCATTATAATTGGTTGCAGTAAGCATTTCTACAGTTTTTCCTTTGCTGGTCCCAAACTCATAATTTGCACCACTGAATTGGTAAATAGGCTTTTCTGCCAAGTGGTCAGATGCAATTGTTCACTGACTGAATGATTTGGGATTCTTCTACCTACTGAGCACTCATGTGCACACACATGCATGAACACAGACACACACACACACACACAAACACAAGGATACTGAAATGAATATACAATTTACTGTTAAAAAAAGAGAGCCACAGTGCCAAATTCAGCACCAGGTATGTTTTGATGCACCTTCCTCCCTTGCCTCAGTGGCATTCTGAAGCATAGGTTTAGATGACCTATGTTCAAGTGATAGAACCAGGAAAAATGTGTCATTATTAAATTAAATAGGGCTTTTGTCTTGCCTTGGATTCCAATGAGGACAAATACATGTTTCTTTCAAAAAAACCAAAACCAAAAACAAAAAGAAAAAAAACCAACCACAAAAAAAACCAACCAAACAAAAAAAAACAAGCAGCAGAAGCAAAGTCATGTGCAAATAATGAAAGAATCATTGCAGACTGTTTGGGAGGACAGCTCCAGGAAGCAGGGAATACGTTCACAGGCATTGTTTGCTGCTGGTCTTCACAATGCCCTTTGTCTTCTGAAAATGTTATTGCAATTAAACACTGGCTCAGCCAAATAAAGTGAATCAGAGGGTGCTTATTTATGAGAACATTTGGAATGGATAATATGTCGCATAATTTCTGAAGGCTGACGGTTATGAAAGCTCTTCCTTTTACAGCAGGCCTTCATCTCTGTGTCATATTCTTTTACTGGCCAGCAAAACATGAACTTCTTTACCCAGCTAGGAAAGCAGCAATATCCAGCATTTACACACCAGCATGTGAGCACAAGCACAGTATATTTATGTATTGCTTATAGGAAACCCAAAGGATGAATCAAGGCTTTGCCTGATCTGTCTGGGTGTGCACCAAACTGCCTCCTTTTCCTGTCACAGAAGGCGCCTCCAAACCAGCACAAAAATCGAATTCTCAGGGCTGAAGACGTTTTTCACCATTTAGCATGGAACTAGAAAGAGGACTCCACAAGAGGGAGCCAGAAAACGAAGAATCTCTCACGAAGCAGGCTATGAAACTCTTTACAGAATAAAGTGGTGGGCGTGCTACGAGGTGTCCTTCACCAGCCAGGGCACTGGCTGAGCTGCTGCTCCCCTTCCACTACGAGGGCTGCTTGCTGTATGACAGCATCAAGTCGTTCTTCAGGGCTTTGTAGAGGTTGACAAAGGACTCAGCCCAGGTGTCCTTCTGGTGCCCCTGGGACTGGGCGGCTCTGTAGGCCGTGTAGACCATGGTCAGCACTGTCCTCTCAAAGTCCTCCTTCTTGAGGACCCTGGGGTAGGAGGACAGCCTGCTGCTCAGCCTGCGGATCTCCGGGATGCTCTTGGGGATGATCTCGTTGCAGATGGTGTCAAACTCAGCAGCCTTCCTCAGGGAAGCCAGCTCCTCATCCTTGATGGAGATCCTCTGACCTTTGTCGATGTCGAGCTCAGCTAAAAGAAACTGGTACAAAATCAGAACACAGAAAGCTATTTATTTTCTCCAAGAGACTCTAGACAGAGTACATGTCAATTAACAACATGTCCTTGGGTCTTTAATTTTTGTCAAATGGGGACAGTTGCACTGTCTGGAGGTGGGGGAGACCAGAAAGTTGCTGTGTGCTCCCACTTTTCTGGTGAACTATCACACAGCCTTGATGCTGGGATGAATAAAAGTGACACAAAGTCAGATAGTGGATAACCCAATTATGGGCAGTACCCCCAGTCCTGGTTAAGGTTTAAGGAACCATATACTGAACCTCATAAAGCAGGACCACATCCTCCAGCGAGTTCTGTAACACTGGGTTCAGGAAGGCAGCTGAGGACCTCTTGAATCTCTGAGAAGCTGGGAAAAGCACAGCTGGAAAACAGCAATGGGAAAAGAGAGGTTCCATAAGGTGCCAGACAATGACAAGAAGCAGCACTTTTCAACAGTAGAATCAAATAAAAAAATGCCTCTTGCAAAATCTTTCTGTACAGAACGGCCTTTGGCTGTAAATTAAATGTCTGGCAAGGATTGCTTTGGCCTTGACTGACCAAGGATGGAGGTTAGCTGGATCCAGAGGGTGCCTAACACAAGGCGCTTTGTTACCCAAGCCTGGGACTCTGAGCTGCACCATCAGAGGTGAAAGGAATAATGATAATGGCAGCATTAACATTGTCTGAAATACAGGCCCTTTTCCTGGATCTGAAGGGGGAAATCAGTACTGATACTCAACCAAAACTACTTTATTTGGTCCATTCTTGTGACGGTGTTCACAGGGATCTTAGGATGAGGGAAGAGACATAGATCTGACTCCATGTTTCAGAAGGCTTGATTTATTATTTTATGATATATATCACATTAAAACTATACTAAAAGAATAGAAGACAAGGTTTCATCAGAAAGTTAGCTAAGCTAAGAAGAGAAAGGAATTATAACAACGGCAGCTGTCTCGGACCTTTGTCTGGACTGTGATTGGCCATTAATTAGAAACATCCAACATGGACCAATCACAGATGCACCTGTTGCATTCCACAGCAGCAGATAATCACTGTTTACATTCTGATCCTGAGGCCTCTCAGCTTCTCAGGAGGAAAAATCCTAAAGAAGGGATTTTTCATGAAAAGATGTCTGCAACATATTCTTCTACTGCCATTCTTCTGAGAGTCTACATTTCTCCTAGTTTCAATTGCCTAAAAGTTGATCTCTCCTTATTTATTAGAGACAGATCCACCAGAGAGTAACCAGCTCATCTGTCCTGGGCATTTGCACTTGGAAGGAGTGACTCACCCAGATGCCTGTGTCACTTCACTGAGCCTGTTACCAGCTTAGACAAGGCAGCTACATCCAGTGAGGTAATCCCAGCTTAGCGTGGCTTTAGTACTCTGCAGTGTAATAACTGGGAAAAAACAGAGCCTGCCACCATCAGGTAGCTGTTCAGCACTGTGAAGTGCACTGCACTGTCACAGGGAAATGAGACAGGAAACAGATGGACAGTCCCTGAACTCAGCACCCCAGTGAAATACAGCATGTGTGGAAGCAGTGACCTGGACAGTCCAGGGTACCGAAAACATCTGATGCTGCTTTAGAGAAGACCTAAATGCTCTGAGTTATTAACTAGGTTACAAACCATCCATGTACTGTTAAAAAGTCTAAATTACTTTCAGAGCAGAAGGGGAAAAACCTCTGTTTAATATTTTATTTGTATATTATTATCTGTATATTATTTTGATGTTTGAGTAACCATAATTTGAATTTGTTGGATTTTTTCTAATAGTCAGGAATGGGAAGGGTTTGTTTCTTTAACTAGTGCTTATGTGACTGTTGGTATGTTTCCCATAAACTTCACTTCTCAACTTTAACTCTGTTTGCCAATAGATAAATTTTGAAACCAGTCTAAGGAAAAAAGGAAAGAAATCCCCCAAATTTTGATAGGCGTTATGATTCCTCTTTCAAAATTAAGATTTTTTTTAGAGTTAAGAGTAACACGTAATAGAACATGCAGCTTAGTTTGAATTTTTGGAAGGTTTCAACCTGCCCTTCCTCTACCAGAATTCTTTTCCATGAAACATTTTTACTGAATCAATTTTGCCTGGTTTTGCCAAAGTTCTTGTGATGGATTTTGCACGCTGCCTGTAAAAAAACCTGAATGTCATTTGAAGCTCTCTCTTCTAGGCATGAAAAGAGAGAAGAGGAAGAGGAAGAGGAAAGGAAAGGAAAGGAAAGGAAAGGAAAGGAAAGGAAAGGAAAGGAAAGGAAAGGAAAGGAAAGGAAAAAAGAAAAAAAGTCTGGAGCAACTGTAATTATTTTATGAAAAAGCTGTCCCAACTCTCTGACTACATGGTTCATCAGACAATTTGCCTCCTTAGGGTTACCCAAGAAGATCATATATATGAATTTGAATTCTTCTAAATGCAGCCCTGCTTCCTGCACCATTGGCAACTGCTGACTTTGTTATAGTTTGGCTTGTTAATGATATTTAAATTCTAGTAGAGCAAGAAGAGAGAAACCAGAGCCTCAGGACCTTTATTATCCTGCATATGGAAAATGAATCATGATAATGCTAGGTATGAAGCAATTCCTACTTGATGATACAAAGGGTATTTTGGCCTTAAATTAGCTAGGGAAAAAGTATTTTGTTGAATTTCAACAAACATTCTGTAGTTAGATAGAGTAGTTAGGATGGGTTTCAGGCATAGCTGCTCCATCCCCGGTGTTTCCCTCTCTTGCTCAGAGCTTTGCTCAGGCACACTGGAGCTGCTCCATTTTTCACTTTTGACAATTCAAGGATGCAACTGAGTGCGTGTGAAGCACTTGAAACTTCAAGCACTAATTGCTGAGTAATTAAAAACTTTTATTACTGGGCAATTAAAACTCTAATTACTTAGCAGCTGGCAGAAATCCAGTTCATAATGATGACTATTCATTTTTATCCCTTTTAGCTTTTAGATGCCCTTTTGGTGGAAAACAGCCTCAGAGCATGGAGTACCTCTACATCTGCAGATGGTTTACATCTCAAATATCCCCTGAGCCATGGGAGAAGTGTCTGTGGCACCTTGCTTCAGTGCTGCCATGCATCTTGTCATCACAATGATTGCTTTTAAGCTTCAATCCAAGCAGAGATTCCCACCGTGGAGCTGAGCTGGGGGACACCAGCTTCAGCCCATCACCACTCACCCTGAAAAGCCTCAGCAAAGGACTCACCCAAAAATGAATGCCAGGCTATTGACTTGCTGAGTCACAACCTCAGGAAGAAGAAGGGTTTGTAAGGAGATTCAAAGGGACAAGGACTTGGGGTACTCTGTGATGAGAAGGGATTTTAATGTGTATCAGAAGCACGCCAGCCTCTGTAGCACTGACTCCCTCGTCTCATTATCTCGTTCCCAAAACATATTAAAGTTTGTTACAGTTCTTAGAGACTGTAGTTAGAAAGTCTTTCAGTGCTCGTTTGTATTTGTCATGGTTATCTGATTTTCCTGATCTGCATTTTGTTCAGTCCTTCCCTCTCTCTTCCTTCCTGCTCAGTAGTCAAATCCTTCCACCATCACTCCCTCCACAGTCCTCTCCATGAATTCACGAGTTCCTCCAAGTCTGTATGAACACTACTCTGATTTTCATTGTACTGACTTAACTCATGTGTCAGCTAAGTACAAAAGCTGAGATACAGAAAGGTTTTAAGTCAGTTTCTGCATTTAATGATTGCAAATTCCACTTGAAGCTTTTTTGCTGACTTTTACTTCTTCCTGCATTTACTTCCATCTCTGACATGAGTTGTCTGGGGACATCAAAAAACAGTAGCAGGATTTATAACCCTTTACTAATTTCTTTTTCAAGGCACTTCTCTATAAAGCTCTTAAGAAACTGGAGATGCAGAATTTATGTTATTGCATGATTTTATGTTCCTATTGCAGCCAATTCATTTCAATGGAATGAACATCTAAGGAGCAGAGATTCCCAATTAGTATTGACAGAGAAAGCCAGTGAAGTCAGTGGAGAGTCTCCAATTGATTTATTGTTTTTATTTCTCTTACAAATGTGTTAAGACATCTCCAATGTAGATATGGGTGCTTCTGTCCCAAGGGCTGATCAGTCATGTAACAAAAAACTTATGATTTGCAGAGACAAGTGACGAAAAATAAGCTTTTCATTGTCCTTGCTGAAAACATTTCTATTGTATATCTATATATAACTGCTCATCCTCTTCCAAATCCCTTCTGCAGAGGGGCCTTGGGAGTTCTGCCTTGCTGCCTGCTCAGGGCTCAGGGCTGGATCAGAGAGAGCAGCACATCTGAGCACATCCATCCCCTCCAGGCCCTCCTGCCTGGCCCTGCATGGCCTGGAGTGCATCACTGCCTCCAGGCAGCCCACACCTCTCCTGATAAGGATGGTTAAAAGTGCCCTTCAAAACTGGCACAGAAATCTCCATTTTCTTCTGGCTGCAGGAGCCCATCCAGCCTCCTACTGCTCTGCTGACTCAGTTCCACAATTCCACTCTCTGACTCAATTCCACTCTCCGTCCAGACTACCCAGGCTCTTAAAAAAAAACAAAACCAAAAAAGCTTGCCAACTCATTGACCTGCTTCTAACCACTTAGCTAAAGCATCTTCATGGCTTAAACAAAACATCGCATTTGAGGCTGACAATAGCCTCATTTTAAAGATGTTTTCATCTCTCTCAAGAGATTCTGCCAGAATCTCCTGCACTTCATTAGCTGTGTGGTAAATATTTGTGATCCTCTCCCAGGTTTTCCCTGCAGTTTGATTGGTGAGGGTACAGATGTTTAGTTTTGCTTTCCAGTCCGTGCATCTGTTCATTATTTCCCAGTTGTTTCCTGTGCTGTGTTTGCTCCATAAGCACAGAGCATAGCTGCAGGAGTTCTCAGTTATTTGTGCATCATCAATGCCCTTTCCTTCCCCTATGAAAAGGTGTGAAGCACAATTTGGGACCGGTGCAGAGCATTGCTCCAAAGCAAGTACAGCTCCCCAGGGCTCCATGGCATGAACAGTTTAATTGGGGTTATGACTCAGAAGGAATGATTTGGATTGCTATCAGAGGCATGGGAAAGAGTTATTGCTTCACAAGGACACCTTTCATGAAGGACAGGAGGAGCACAGGAGCAAGAAGGACTTCATTCTTTAAGATGGATTCAAATTTTTGCCAAAGAAAAGAAACAAAACTCAGCGTTGTCCATAAAGTGATTGTATAGGCAGATACATCAGCCATTATAATTAATGCCATGCAAAAAATGATGAGTGGTCCAGGCTGACTGAATCCATTTTATTGCAGAGACTGCTGGGCAGTTCCTAGAAGCTGTTGTTTCGGATTTTAGGGCAAATGCCTGAAATGCTCACAAGAGGATTCTTTACTGTGTGGGCGAC